GCATTGATGCGACTCTTATCGCTGTGCCCTCTTCAACACTACGCTCTCTCAGCTATCTAATCACTCGCCACGTATTGAACTACGGCGAGTGATCAGATGATCGGTGGGCGGAGATCGCCGGACCCGCCAGCTTTGAGGCATGATAGGTCGCCGAGGTCAAATTTTTCCATGCGAATTGCGCGTCAGTTCGCACCCTCAGGAGGTCCGTGGGTCCCTCAACTAGGTCAGTTTCCCTTTCTTCGACCTTCATTCTAATCGTGAATTCCTCCTTTAAAGTGGCTGCAAAACCGTGTAGGCAGACTCATTGAGAGTGTCATCACTTGCCTATGAATCTCATGATAGGCTTTTCTCATGATTGATGAAGAAGGTCAAAAAATCCAAGGGATGAAATCCAAGGAGCTAATTGCGACTTCACTAAATTATCCGTGTTTTGCAGAACTGGCCATTTTGAGCACAAGCGGTCTGTATGCCCAAAACTAGTGCGGCCCACTTTTTGGGGAGACATTTCTCCTCCTGATATCTCGATGAATGGGAGCAAAAGTATTTTACAGTTGACTGTGAATCATTGATGCCTCGGCTCTGCTCAGTTCCACTGAAGCTTACGTTAACGCGGTAACGAGCGGAACTAAACTGGCACTATACAAGCCAGGAAATAAAGTAACAGAAACATACTATGAGGAATGGAATGATTGGATAGTCCTTTTCTCGAGGTGTGACTCCTTGAAATCCGGTGTAGTACATGTGATCTTCCCACCATATCTCCGCAGCCTTAAAATCTGTTCTTCATAAGTTCAAGTGCAGATTGCTTAGGACTTACTTCTTTTAATGCATTTTCAGGAGACTTGACTGGCCGGAAGTTTTCGACTCTTGTTTTGATATGATAGGAATTCATTCCTGTGTAGGAGAATGACTTTGGACGTACATGCGCCTTGCATGGATCTGTGTAAGCTGCTTTCATCTCCAAATCGCAGTCATACATCTGAAAAATTCCGATGTTGCAGGTCCCACTTGCCGCGTGTATCAGCATAGGTGGCTACCATAAAAAGCATGTTTGTTGCTGTGGGGAAAAAATCGGGAGAAAGAACATTTCTTCTAACTCTTCCATCAGCAAGTAAACTCCTGAATTTAGGGTAATATAGCAGCTTTCAGAGCCAAGATAGAACATCTAAACCACTACATATTGTCACTCACCCTTTCAGTACCCTATTA